TCTGTCCTTATACGATGCACATTGCAGCTCTCAGCAACCTATAGTTACATTTTATTATGAGGCCAATCCAGGAACAGTCACAAATAAGGTAGGGGAAGAGAAGATCAGGGTTTATAGAAATAACCTGTATTCAGAAAATTACACTTGGGGACACAATCTGTAGCATACTTATGTGAAAACTACCATTAAGAACAAAAGATGAGGGGGCAGGGAATGTGGATTAGTGAGAGAGTGCTTGCCTAGCATGCAAGAAGCCCTGGGTTCTATTCTTCACTAGTATATACAGAGAAAATCCAGAATTGGTGCTGTGGCTCAAGTAGTAGAGTGCTAGAGCTAGTGCCCTGGCTTTGAGTTCAACCCAAGAAATGTCAAAAAAGATATATAGGTAGGGAGGGAGGGAGGGAGGGAGAGAGGGAGATAGATAGATAGATAGATAGATAGATAGATAGATAGATAGATAGATAGATAGATAGATAGATAGATAGATAGATAGATAGATAGATAGATAGATAGATAGATAGATAGATAGAAAAATGATACATGAATCTGGTCTTGGATGTCAGGAGGAAATAAGAGAACAATTCCTAGTCATGAGGCCTTCTGCAGTGTGCCAGGACACCAGCATCGCCTTCACACAACCACAGAACAGGAACACTGTCTCTTTCCCACTTCTCTGGCAGATGAAGGCCCCAGAGCCAAGAAGGCAAAGCCTGGTTCTAACTCAGGTGCTTGGAAACAGAAGAGAAACGGCCCTCCCTGTCCTTGGACTGGGGATTTGCATTAATGATATGGACAATGAAGGAAGGAGAATGGACTGGCAGAGATAGAAGAAGGGCCTTGAAATCTGACAGATGTAGAGTCAAAAATCCACTCCCTACAAACAGAGAGCAGGGTTTTTCTACTCTGTTCCTGCCCTCTCTCTCACTAAACTGACTCTCGATTGGTAACCTAAAGATAGCCTGAGGCTCCCTTCACCTAAAGGAGGAAGGTTATTCATTGTTTGAAGAGGCTGAGAAAGCCTGACAATGGTGTAACTCTAACAAATATTTCAGGTTTCCCCTCATTGCTGGGTGTGCCTGGAATGAATGAATGAAGTGGTTTGCAGCTCACTTCCCAGGTGAGTGTATATCTTCTGCCTCTTTATCCTACAAGCCTAGCTCTCTCCACCTAGCCTGGCTTTTGATACTGTTTTCTGTCCTTCAAATACAGTGTTACACTGGAGTTCTTCCTGCTAACAGGGCTAGGGTTTGAATCCTGAGAACTTCATTTGAACCTTGCATGGGTCAATGATGTTTCTTTCCTTCTTCTATAGCACAAGAATTCTAATAACATTTAGAGTTCAAGTAACTTCTCATCACCAAGGGAAACACAAGAAGCTGTTGAACATCTGACCTTACAGAAGTGGAAGTCAGAGTATCATAGACTTTCCTGTCCTGGTTGGCTTCACCCTGTAATCCTGAGACCTCAGCCTCCTTAGCTAGGTTGATGGGTGTGAGCTACTGGTGTTCTGCTAGGTTCAGGACTGTAATGACATTGACAATACAAGTCAACTGCTTATCACAAATGGCTTGGGAAGCATATTAAGCCTTTCAATATTGGACCATTCAGATCCCTTTAGCACACAAGGTTATAATGCTAGAATCTGAGAGGCTGGGCAAGTGGATCTGCTACACTTGAGCCTTAAGCTCTGACTCCAATTCTGGTTTACATCAGTGTTTATTTTCCAGGGAATGTTCTCCTAATTAGCAGATAGGAAAAGTACTTTGATTAACCCTTACTTTTTTCCTGTTGTGTGTCTTGTATCAAGCCTGGGCCCTGTCCCTGATCAATTCAGCTCAAGGCTAACACTCTACCACTTCAGCCACAGCCCCACTAGGGTTTCTTTTTTTGGTGGTACATGGGACATAAGTCTAACAGGCTTTCCTTGCCTCGGCTGTCTTTGAACGGTGATCTTCAAATCTCAGCATCCTGAGAAGCTGAGGTTCCAGGTATGAGCCACCCGCATCTGGCCAATTGTTTTTGACAGTCCTGGGGCTTATTTTTTTTCAAGGCTAGCACTCTGTCATTTGAGACACTCCATTGCTTCTGGCTTTTTCTGAGTATGTGGCACTGAATATTCAAACCCTGGTATTCATGCATGTTGAACCAGCTGTTTACCACTAAGCCACATTTCTAGGCTCGCCCTTACAATCTTATCCCACAACTTGCCTGTCCTGAAAAAAAAAGGCTTCTGAGTATAAATCAGTAAAGAAATTCCTACAGGAAGGTGTTCAAAGATAAATAAGACAAAATTCATACTTGAGACACAGACTCTAAACATGTGAAAACTATTACAAATGCCTCCATTTAATTATGTATCATGTTTCAACACAAAATGTTTTAATGAAAAATGAATCAATGTCCTAAATTATTGTGTATAATTTTATAAAAGATGTGCAAAATGCAATAAATATGTGTATGATAACACTAACTACAATACATAATAAATGAATGAATCAAATAAAAAATAAAATAAATACAAAATCAATAATAAAAATCATAATATGTAATAAACATAATTATGTAAGTAATATCCTATATTACACATGTGTAGAAATACCTTTTCCATTGCAGGACCTCCATTCAGGCCATGGGAACTCTAGCCTGAATTTCATTCGTCAAGGACAGTAAATTTTGCCTTCACCCATGGTTCAAAGGAGTTACTTGGATGGTGAGATCAAATCCCAGCAATGGTAAAAATATTGGCCCAGTTCCAAGATAGTGACTTAATTTTTTAATGAAAGCAGTTATGTTTATTCAGTTACATACTGAACATTAAAAAAAGCAGTGTAGAATTTTGTACAGCTATTCAGATGTCCTTCCCTTACTCCCAAAGTGCTTCTCTGAACACTACATTGTTTTTTTTTTGTATGTTTTTTTTTTTATTGTAAAAATGTTGTACGGCGGGGTCACAGTTACTTGAGCAAGGTCATGAGTATATTTCCTATTGAGCATTTTTGCCTCCTCCTTTGTTTACCCCTTACCATCCCTTCCCTCCCATCTCCAAAACTACTCTCCCTGCCAAGCTGAGTGACTTATTTTTAGTTTTGGCTTTACATGGGGTTTGAACTCTAGTAGTGGCAAATCTGCACTTTCCCTCACATTGCTACAGATTTACCAAGATCCTGAAGTCCAATCCCAGGCTAGGAAAGAAAACTGACAGAAATTCCAAATCAGGGAGCTTTATTTTTTTTTAATTTAGTTAATTAATTAATTTTTTTCTTTTCTTTTCTTTCTTTTTTTTTTTGCCATCCATGGGGCTTGAACTGAGGTCGTGGCAACTCTGCCTCAGCTTGGATCATCCTAGGCTAGGTGCTGCTTGGGACCCATACCCAATCCTGGAATCCTAGGCCCAGAGGGCTTGCAAGATGAAAAAACAGTGGGATAGAACGAAAAGTGGGGAGCTGCAAAGGGCTGGGGGTTTTATGTTTTTTTCTTTGCACAGTGCCCATCCTGGGTCTGAATCAGATGGCTACAAAGTGGATCTGACCTGCCATATCTGAAGGCTGATGTACTATCAAGGAAATTATAGGACAATCTGTCAACATAGACCCTGGCTTCAAATCCATGTCATGACACCTGCCAATGGCAGGAGATCACAAGAGACTCATTCCTATGCATAGGAATACTGATTGAAGGAGAAGTTTGTGCATCAGTCGAGTCTAAAATTGGATGCAATAATCCTAGGACACTGATCGATCTCAATTAATACTTTATTAATCATGAAAAGAATACTATTCCTTTAATGGTGATATAATAAATACCTACCACTTGATAGGAACATAGTATATGTCATTCAATCATAGATAGGCGGCTATGGCTCTTTTTACCAATATATATTTATTTGTATACCACTGTCTGCCTATCCATGTATTGCTGTTTTGCACAATCCTGGGGCAAGATCTCAGCACCTGGGATCCACCTGACAGCTTCATTAGCTAGAGGCTGCTGTGCTCACACTCACCTATTCATGAATTGGGACGGCATGTCCCTGATTTCAGATCCTAGAGCTGCCAAAAATTTAATCTTGGATTAAGAAGCCAATCTGTTTTCCTTTTCCGGGAGAGTCCTGGGTGTCAGGCATGATTGAGAAGACATCTACAAATCTAGATGCTATGTGATAGGATGCAAACAATATAATACATTGTTAGGTGTCAATAAAATAAATGGTAAATAAATGAATAAAACAAAAAATTCAATGAATAACCACCCCAAACATAATATAGTCTGAACATCTGTATGGAAGTTCAATCCTATCTTTAAAATGTATATAAGGAGTATGCTTTCCAGGGATAGGCCATGAATTCAGGCCTAGGGAACAGGCCTGACTTTCTGGTCTTTAAGCACGGTGAGCTTCCCCTTCCCGCACAGTGCAACAGAGTTACCTTACAGACAAAAAAATGCCAAACATTCCAAACAAGGGAGCTTCATTAGCATTTTTAGTATTTTTTAAGTTCACTTCACCTTTGTTTGATACATTTTGATTTTATAACACTAGAGTTTTTCAAAAAAGAGGTTTAAACTTTTACATTTCAGCATAGCACATTGGTGTTTCTATTTTGACCATCTTCCATGAAGAGTGAACATGAAAATAAGGACACCATTTCTCCCTAGAAGGTTGGGACAGTTGATTTTATTTATATTTAGAGTTATTTCTATAATTATAAATTCTCTACATTTGTGTCATGTTAGTTTTCCTCAGTGCCTACAACGAAATACACTAGGGGAGTGATAGCACAAAAAGTTGGGTTTCTGAATAAAAACTCACTTTTGTGAGGACAGCAGGTACTTGTAAGCATTTTGGGAATGAACTGGATTGTAAAATGAAAAACAAAAACATTGGGAGTGGGATGTAGTCAGAAGTGGAGCATTTGCCTAAAGATCATCAGACTCTGGCATAAATGTTTCCTAAAGCTCAAAGTGTTAGAATTTTATGATCTGTATGAACAAACTTTTTTTTTTTTTGGTCGTGGGTCTGAACTCAGGGGTCATCCCTGCACTCTTCAGCTCAATGTGAGCAATCTACTGCTTGAATCACAATGCTACTTCCGGTTTTCTAGTGATTTATTGGAATTAAGTGTCTCACGGACATTCCTGTCCTGACTGGCATCCTCAAATCTCAGCCTCCTGATTAGGTAGGATTATCGGCATGAGCCACCGGTGCCAGGCACATGCACAAACTTCTTAAAGATTGATTTTGAGAAAAGAAACCTGGAATATACTTTTAGTATACATAATTTATAATGCTATGTTTAAGGCACTAATTCAGAAGTATTTATTCATTGGCTGGTTTCTTAGTTTATTTAAAGATATATTATATATATATATGCATTATATATATATATATATATACATATATTATTAAAAACGTAGCGTTGAAGTGTACCTAAGAGCATATGTGCTCATGTAAAATTACACAACTGCACAAGCTTCATTATTTTTTTTCCAGTTTGGTTGGTACCATAAATTATGTGGGATTTTCTACTGTTGTTTTATTCTCTGTTTTTGGAGGATTTCTCTCCCTTTTATCTCCCTCGCTCCCTCCATGAACTTGAACTCAGCTTGCTCTTTCTCGGCTTGGTTGTTCATAGCTGATTTTCTACCACTTCAGCCATACCTGTAGCCTGGCTTTTTGCCAGTTAATTGGAGATGATTTCTGTCAGGCTTTTCTGCCTTCATTGGTTTTGAAATTTCATCATCCAGTTCTCAGCCTCCTGAGTAGCTAGGATTACAGATGTGAGCCACTGGGGTGCCTAGGGATAAATTAGACTTTGGTTGGTGTATTCTTTCTGTTTTTCTAAGCATGGGAGAATTTCAGTGAATGTCCTGGGTCTGAAGTAAGATATATAATACATATGAAAATCTGTATAGTTCTCATAATATGTAATAAATTTAATACGTGTTGTAAGTGTAGTAATAGTCAATAAATATAATGAATGAATAATACAAAAAAATAAATACCCTCAAAGCAATATGCAGTAAACATAAGTATGTAGATATTAATCATTTTTTTCAAGTGTGGATGAATATTACATAACAGGGCTGGGGATTGAATTCAGGCCTAGGGAACAGGCCTGAATTGCTTGTATTCAAAGAGGGTGAGTTTCCCCATTCTCCACAGTGCATTAGAGAGTCCAGATTCTGAGTTCAAATCCCAGGCCTGGCAGAAAAAAACGGACACGAATTCCAAGGCAGGGAGCTCCATTTTGTAAACTTGTTTAACCACTTTGAAAAGTAGTATGGAGATTCCTCAAAAGACTCCACATAGAGCTACCCTATAACCCAGCAGTCCCACTTTTGGGCATTTACCCTAATGTTTGCAAACAAGACCACACAAAAGCTACCAGCACAACTATGTTTTTTGCACCATTATTTACCATAGCTAAGATATGGAACCAACACAGATGCCCCTCAGTAGATGAATGGATCAAGAAAATGTGGTATATATACACAACGGAATTCTATGCCTCCATCAGAAAGAATGACATTGCCCCATTTGTTAGGAAATGGAAAGACTTGGAAAAAATTATATTAAGTAAAGTAAGCCAAACACAAAGAAACTTAGGTCCCATGATTTCCCTTATTTGCAATATCTAGTATATGTATGAGTCAAGCAGAAAAGGTCAGATAAAGTGATGTTAGGAAAATGAACCCTAAGATATGTATTTTAAATGTATTTTTCTTTCATGCATTTGTTTCTAATGCAATTATAAGATTATTTCTTTGTTGCTTTGTATGTCCCTCCCCCACAGTATAACCACTGCTTTCACTGTATTTGATGTCGGTGTAATTTGTGGAGGAGAAGGGGAAAAACAAGTCATTTAAATAAGGATATAGGTGGACCTGTTGCAACAATGAGAAGTGTAAGTTGTCATGTCAAAAATGAACTTTACAACTTCGAGGGGGGAGGATTAGGTGGGGGGCAGAGAGGATGGGAAGGGATGTGAAGGGTAAAAAATGGAGGAGGCTACAATGCTTGATAAGAAATGTACTCACTATCTTGCCCATGTAATTGTAACCCCTCTGTACAGTATTTTCACAATAAAAAATAATAATAAAAAATAAAAAAAATATTTTATGTTTATATACTTTATTAAATTTTATTATATTTTATTTATTAATTCATTTATTTTGCCTGGCACAGGGCTTGGACTTAGGTTGTAGCAACTCTGCCTCAGCCTCCATCACCCTAAGCTGGGATGGTGCAGCTTCTGGGACCACAGCCCATCCTAGGAATCAAGGCTTCAGGGGCTGACAGGAAAACAAATTGAAAACAGTACTGAAAAATAGCCTCGAATTGCAGACAGTCGGAGGTTTCTCGGTTTTCCTTCCTTGCATGGTGACCACCCCGGGTCCAAATGACACCAGCTACAACCTGTAGGTCACCTGGCATTGCTGAAGGCTGGCAGGCTGGCAGCGAACCCACAGCCCAATCTGGACACCTAGGTGTTTGAATCCCTGTCATTGCACTTAGAAAGGGCTGGAGAGCCTAATAAACTAATGCCTGTTCATAGGAATACCAGAGGAATGTGATCATGTCATGGTTGGTTGAGTAGTTTGTCAATCAGTCTAACATAAAATTAAACCCAATATTTACAAGATGTCGATTGATTTTAATTTATAGTTTATTACGCATTAAAAGAATACGTGTGTGTGTGTGTGTGTGTGTGTGTGTGTGTGTGTGTGTGTGTGTGTGTGTTTTGTCAGTAGTGGGGCCTGAACTCTGGTCCTGGGAACTTTCCCTCAGCTTTTCAGCTCAGGGCTAATGCTGTACCATTTGAGACACAGCACCATTCCTGGCTTTTTCTGATCATGTGGTGCTGAGGAATCAAACCCAGGGCTCATGCATGCAAGACAAGCACTCTCACAGTGAGCCACTTTCCCAGCCCCTAAAAGAATACTATTGATTAAATAGAATTCTCACTACATACCTGTGAATCACTAGGAAGTTAGTATATGTCATTGAATACTACTAGATAGACATCACTGGAAGTATCTAAATTTCTAAATATATATTTATTTTTATACCACCGTCTGCATAGAAAAGTATTGCTATTTTGGCCAAACCTGAGTCTCGATCCCAGGTCTTGGGATCCACCTGGCATCTGAATGTGATAGAGGCTGCCATGATGACACTCACCCATTCACGAATTGGACCTCCTAGGGCCTCAGTTCAGGCCCCAGCATTGCTAAAAATGTCTTCCTGGAGAAAGATTCCAAGTGGGATACCTGTTTTCCTTTTCTGTGCAAGTGCTGGGTGTCAGGTATGATGTATATAATATGTCTGCAAAGCTCCATGCTATGGAATAGATTTCAATGAATGTAATAAATGTTATAGGTGCACTCACAGTCAGTACATAAATAAATGGTAAGTAAATAAATAAATAATAAAATATAATGAATCATTTCAACAAACACGATATAAACTGAATATATGGATGTAAGTATAAATCATATAATAAACATGTCTATAAATGTTATGTTCTCCAGGACTGGGGCTTGAATTCAGTCCTAGGGAACAGGCCTGAATTCTTGTCTTCAATGGAGGAGATCTTTCTTTTCCTCCACCCCCCTCAGTGCATCAGCGTTACCCAGATCCCAAGATGCATCCCTGCCTGGCAAACAACAAAATGGCACAAAATTCAAGACAAGGAGCTTTAGTAATATTATTAATTAATTAATTTATTTTTTGCCATGCACGTGGCTTTAACTCAGGTCGTGGCAATTCTGCCTCAGTTTCCATCACGCTAGGCTGGGATGGTGCAGCCTATGGACCCACAGCCCATCCTGGATCCTAGGCCTCGGGGACTAACAGGAAAACAAAATGAAAACACCACCAAAAAAAAAAGCATCAAACTACAGAAGGTCAGCAGTTTCTATTTTTCTTCCTTGCACGGTGACCATCCTGAGTCTGAATGACATGGCTGCAACCTGTAGTTCACCTGGCATTGCTGAAGGCTGGCGGGCTGTCAGTGAAGCTGTAGGTCAGTGGACACTAGGCCCTGAGTTTGAATCCTGATCATGCCACTTAAAAGGGGCTGGAGAGTCTAAGAAACTATTGCCTGTCCATAGGAACACCAGAGAAATGTGATCAATGTCATGGTTGGATGAGTAGTCCCTCAAAATGAGTCTAGCATAAAATTAGACCCAATAATCACAGGACACAGATTGATTTTAATTCATAGTTTATTATGCATTTAAAGAATATTATTGATTAAATGGAATCCTCACTAAATACATGAGAATCGGTAGGAACGTAGTATATGTCATTGAATACTAGATAGACACCTCTGGCAGTACCTAAATATCTAAATTTATATTTATGTACCACCATCGTCATAGAAAGTTACTGTGATTTTGGCCAAATTTAGGTATTTATATTTATTTATGTACCACCATCGTCACAGAAAGTTACTGCGATTTTAGCCAAACAGGGGCTTGATTCCAGGTCTTGGGATCGACTTGGCAGCTGAATAGACTAGAGGCTATGGTGCTGACACTCACACATTCAAGAATTGGGCCTCTCAGGCTTTCAGATCACGTCCCATCATTGCCAAAAATTTTTTCCTGGTGTAAGATTTCAAGTGTGACACCTTTTTTCCTTTTCTGTGCAAGTTCATAACATGTCTGCAAAGTTACATGCTATGGAGTAGATTGGAATAAATGTAATAAATATTATGGGTGCACTCACAATTCATAAAATAAATGCTAAATCAATAATAAAACATAATGAATCACTACAACAAACACAATATAGACTTAATATATAGATGTAAGTATAAATCGTATATTTGACATGTCTATAAATGTTATGAGGTGCTTGAATTGAGTCCTAGGGAAGAGTTTAGTTCATTCATGATTCTCATAGGAAATGATAGGCAAGACGTATGGCACAACAATAATTTTTAATTAAGAGTTCATGAAGTGTGACAATAAGAATCACATTCAGAAATTGGAGTACTGATCCAAGAATCAGTACTCACATGATGTAGAGCACATGGGCAGCAAAGATGGCGCTGATAGGGAGTTGAGTGGGCAAAGCCTGATTTGCTTTATGTTCAGTGCATAACTAGACCATGGAATCTTAGGTGCATGATAGGGTGTGACCTTGACAGTGATTGTTTCCTCTCTTCCTCCCCTCCCATGCCACCCACTCTTTTTTGCTTTAAAAATGGCTTGCTCTATGTTAATAAATGAGTTTTCCTGCTTGAGTTGACTCCCCGCTGCGTCTGATTGTCTCCTGGACTGAGGGAGGCTGGGGAACGGGCGAGCTGCCGCACTTAGCTTTCCTCGGACCCTGTCTGTCTTTTGTGTGATGGAAGAAGACCCAACATCTGGCTCCCAACATGGGGCATGAAAGGAAAAATACTGACAGAGGCTAAGCAGTCTGTCAGGGTAAGTGTAACCCTTAGTATGGGCAATGCTATCTCACAGAAGAAGGAAGAGGAGGCAACATTAGGCCTAGAAGGAGTAAAGGAGGACTTGGGAAGTGAGAAGGAAAAGGAATGGGTCAAATTTCACCTAGAACACACATGACAACCTAGAACACACATGTTGCATGACAACATCTACGAAGTGTCAATATCATGCTGCTGCTTCAAAGCCGAAATGGTGAGTGGATGTGAAGTGAAATTGGATTTGGCGGATTAAGCATACGATAAGAAATGTTGTTCCAATTATTACGTGTAGGCAGTGGAAGCCTGTTGCTATGAAGAATGTTGAGCCGTACACGCTATCTGAAATGGTAAATGAGGTTTCTATGTATTCGGAGGCTTGTAAAACAGTAAAGTAAATTCCTAAAATAATAGTAATGAAAAGGGCTTGAATTATTGGGATTCGGTTACCTTCTATGAGGCTGTGATGGGCTCATGTAATTGATACTCCGGAGGCTAGAAGGACAGAGGTATTGAGTAATGGTACGTCTAGGGGGTTTAATGGAGTGATTCCGGTTGGTGGTCAGCATCCCCCTAGTTCAGGAGTGGGGGCTAGGCTGGAATGGTAAAATGCTCAGAAGAAGCATGCAAAGAAAAACACTTCTGAAATAATAAATAGGACTATACCGTAGCGAAGGCCTTTTTGAACTACAGGGGTGTGGTGGCCTTGAAATGTTCCTTCGCGAATTACGTCTCGTCATCATTGGAATATAGTAAGGACACTAGATAGGATACCCATGAGGAGGAGCGTGACGGATTGATAGTGGAATCATATTACTATTCCTGATGTTAGGAGGAGAGCTGATATAGCTCCAGTTAATGGTCAGGGGCTGGGGTTAACTATATGGAAGGCATGTGTTTGGTGTGTCATTAGGTGTTGTCATGTAGGTATAGGCTTACTAGTAGGGTAAAGACGTAGGCTTGAATAAGGGCTACTGCAAATTCTAGGATTGTTAGAAGTGTGAGGATAATGAATGCTGCCAGCGATCCGATTGGGCTAATAGAATAGATTGCTAAGGCAGCTCCTCCGATTAGGTGAATTAGGAGGTGGCCAGCTGTAATGTTGGCTGTTAGTCGTACGGCGAGGGCTATAGGTTGGATTAATAGGCTGATGGATTCGATGATGATAAGTATTGGGATTAATGGTAATGGAGTTCCTTGTGGTAGAAAGTGGGCTAGTGATGATTTAGTTTTGTATCGGAATCCTAGTAGGACAGTTCCTGCTCATAGCGGGATAGCTATTCCTAGATTTATGGAGAGTTGGGTAGTGGGAGTAAATGAATGAGGTAGGAGGCCTAGAAGGTTTGTGGAGCCAATAAAGATGATAAGGGATGTAAGTAGGAGTGTTCAGGCGCGTCCTTTTAGACTGTGCATGCTTATTATTTGCTTAATGATTGCGTTTATGAGTCATGATTGAGAAGTAGTGAGACGATTATTGATTAGTCGTTATGGTTGTGGAAATAGGATGGATGGGAATATAATGATTGCAATAACGAGGGGTAGGCCTAAGAGTGTAGGGGTAGTGAAAGGGGTGAATAAATTTTCGTTCATTTTAGTTCTCAAGGATTAGATGCTTTGGTGTATAGAAAATTTTTGGCCTGTGGTTGTGGGTGGAAAGTGAAGGTTTTAAATTTTAATTGGAAAATAATGAATAGGGTGAGTGTGGTTCCTATAATGGTAACAAATCATGGTGATGTATCTAATTGTGGCATATCATTATGGGACAATTGGTGTCCTGTCTTTAACTTAAAAGGTTAATGCTTTAATAGCTTCATAATGGGGTCTAAAGTATTGTTGTTGATCATGATTCAAAATATTTAAGTGGGACTATTTCGACGACAATTGGTATGAAACTATGGTTGGAACCGCAAATCTCAGAGCATTGGCCGTAGAATAGTCCTGGTCGTGTAGATGATAGGGTGGCTTGGTTTAGTCGTCCTGGGATAGCATCTGTTTTGATTCCTAGTGAGGGTACTGCTCATGAATGTAGTACATCTTCTGAGGAAACTAGTATGCGGATGGGTAGATCTATTGGGAGGACGACTCGGTTGTCTACTTCTAGGAGACGTAGTTCTCCAGGTTTAAGGTCAGATGTGGCGATTATGTAGGAGTCAAATATAAGGTCGTTGAAGTCAGTATATTCGTAGCTTCAGTATCATTGATGTCCTATGGTCTTTACTGTTAGTGCTGGGTCGTTGATTTCGTCTATTATATAAAGAATGCGAAGGGAGGGTAGAGCAATCATAACTAGGATAACGGCTGGAAGAATTGTTCAGATAGTTTCTACTTCTTGAGCATCCATAGTGCTAGTGTGGGTGAGTTTAGTGGTTAATATCAATGAAATGATATATAGGACTAGGGTGCTAATAAGAAATACGATTATGAGAGTATGGTCATGGAAGTCAGTTAATTCTTCTATGATTGGAGATGAAGCATCTTGAAGTCCTATTTGAAGGGGGTAAGCCATAGAGATATATAAGTATTAGGCTTATAATTTAACTTTGACAAAGTTATGTAATTAATTTTACTAATATCTCATTTTGAGAAAGACATATTGGATATGGGACTGGCTTGATACCAGTTTTAGGGGGTTCGAATCCTTCCTTTCTTAGTTGGCCGGTTTTACATAGGCTGGTTCTTCGAAGGTGTGGAATGGTGGTGGACATCCATGGATTCATTCAAGGTTTGTTGATGTTATTTGCACTGTTGTTACTTCACGTTTTGATGCGAATGCTTCTCAGATTATGAAAATTATTAGGATTACGGCTGTTAGGGAAATAAATGAACCTATAGATGAAATTGTGTTTCATGTAGTGTAGGCGTCTGGATAGTCGGAGTATCGTCGTGGTATACCTGCTAGTCCTAGGAAATGTTGAGGGAAGAAGGTCATATTTACACCAATAAATACAATGGTGAAGTGTGTTTTAGCTCATATGTCACTTAGTGTATAGCCGGTAAATACAGGGAATCAGTGAACGAAGCCTCCTATAATGGCAAATACAGCTCCTATAGAAAGAACGTAGTGGAAATGGGCTACTACGTAGTATGTATCGTGAAGTACGATGTCTAGGGATGAGTTTGATAGAACAATTCCGGTTAGTCCACCTACTGTGAATAGGAAAATGAATCCTAGTGCTCATAATATGGCTGGCGATCATTTAATATTTCCTCCGTGGAGAGTAGCTAGTCAGCTGAATACTTTCACTGCTGTTGGGATAGCAATAATTATTGTAGCAGATGTAAAGTAGGCTCGAGTATCTACGTCTATTCCTACTGTAAATATATGGTGTGCTCATACAATGAATCCTAGGAATCCAATAGATATTATGGCTCACACCATGCCTATATATCCGAAGGGTTCTTTTTTTCCTGAATAATATGTAACGATATGTGAGATTATTCCGAATCCGGGAAGAATGAGAATGTAGACTTCTGGATGGCCGAAAAATCAAAATAGGTGTTGGTAAAGTACTGGGTCTCCGCCTCCTGCAGGGTCGAAGAAAGTTGTGTTAAGATTACGATCTGTTAGAAGCATAGTAATTCCTGCAGCTAATACTGGAAGGGATAGTAGAAGAAGGACAGCTGTAATAAGGACAGATCAGACAAATAGGGGTGTCTGATATTGTGATATTGCAGGTGGTTTTATATTAATAATAGTAGTGATGAAGTTAATAGCTCCGAGGATAGATGATACTCCTGCTAAGTGAAGAGAGAAAATTGTCAGGTCGACAGAAGCTCCAGCATGTGCTAGATTTCCTGCTAAAGGTGGGTATACAGTTCATCCTGTTCCGGCTCCGGATTCAATTATGGAAGATGCTAATAGGAGAAGGAATGAAGGTGGTAAGAGTCAGAAGCTTATATTATTTATTCATGGAAAAGCCATGTCGGGTGCGCCGATTATTAGGGGGACTAGTCAGTTTCCGAACCCACCGATTATAATGGGTATTACTATAAAGAAAATTATTACAAATGCGTGGGCAGTAACAATTACATTGTAAAGTTGGTCGTCTCCTAATAGGGAACCAGGTTGACCTAGTTCTGCTCGAATTAGGATGCTTAGTCCTGTTCCTACTATTCCGGCTCAAGCACCGAAGATTATATAAAGGGTTCCGATGTCTTTGTGATTAGTTGAGAATAGTCAACGGTTAATGAACATAAGTAGAATGGCTGAGTAAGGCATTAGACTGTAAATCTAACTACAGAGGTTAATTCCTCTTTTTACCAGTGAAGTCCTGAGGTGCATCGCATGTTGAATTGCAAATTCAAAGGAGCAGCTTCAATCCTGCCGGGACTTCTCCCGCCTCCTTTCTTTTTTTAGGCGGGAGAAGTAGATTGAAGCCAGTTGATTAAGGTGTTTAGCTGTTAACTAAAGATTTGTAGGTTAAAATCTTATCAATCTAGAAAGGATTTAGCTTAATTAAAGCTATTGATTTGCGTTCATTAGATGTAGATGGAAGGTCTGCAGTCCTTATGGTCAGAAATTAAGTTTATGGACTTAGAGCTTTGAAGGCTCTTGGTCTAAATTAACCTAAATTTCTATATAATAGTTGTGATTATTGGTATTAAAGGTAAATAGAAGGATGAAATAATTAATATTGTAGGGATTGTTGTTGGGGCTTTTTGGTTCGGATGGTGTCATTTGAATTTGGTATTGTTGGATAGTGGAAATAGGGTGAGGGAAGTTGAATAAATTAATCGTATGTAAAAGAATAGGTTTAGAAGGGCTATTATTGCTATGGCTAGACTGGTTGTGATTATGTCATTGAAGATTATCTCTTGGATGATCAATCATTTTGGTAGGAAACCGGTGAGGGGAGGTAGACCTCCTAGGGATATTAAGCATAAGAGGGTTGCTAGGGTTATTAGGGGGTGTGAATTTCATGTTGAAGTAAGTGATGAGGTAGTTGTGATGGACAGGGAGTTTAGTGAGATGAAGAGGGTTGTAGTGAGGATAATATAGATGATTAGGTTGAGGATTATTGTAGAGGGGTTGTAGATTATTACTGCTATTATTCAGCCTATATGGGCGATTGATGAATATGCTATGATTTTTCGTAGTTGGGTTTGGTTTAGGCCTCCTCAGCCTCCTAACAAGATTGATAGAATAGCTATGGGTAGGATTAGGTTTTTTTCTATGAATGGGGAGAGTTGGTAGAAGATTGAGATTGGAGCTAGCTTCTGTCAGGTTAACAGAATTAATCCGGATAGCAGGGGGATGCCTTGGGTAACTTCTGGGACTCACAGGTGGAATGGGGCTAGATCTAACTTTATTGCTAGGGCGATTAGTAACGTTAGGGATGTTAGTGGATTGGGTGGTTGTTGAATATCTCATTGTCCCGAGTGGTGAAAGTTGTTTGTGATAGCAAATATTAGGATTATGGATGCAGTTGCTTGGGTTAAAAAGTATTTTGATGCAGCTTCGGTTGATCGTGGATTTTTATTAATTGTTATGAGGGGAATTATAGATAATATGTTGATCTCTAGACCCACTCATGTGAGTATTCAGTGTGAGCTTGTTATTGCAATGGCAGTGCCTAGAATCATAGTGAATATAATTAGAATAAATGCAATGGTATTAATTAGTATGGGAAGGGTTGGAACCAATGTTTTCGGGGTATGGGCCCGATAGCTTAATTAGCTTACCTTACTAGGATTTGGTGTAATTGGTAGCACGGAGAAATTTGAATTCTCAGGTTAGGTTCGAGTCCTAAAGTTCTAGAAATAAGAGGACTTGAACCTCTATGTTTTACTCTATCAAAGTAGCTCTTTTGTCAGACATATTTCTATAATATTGGAGGGATGCTTGCTGTGGAGATTGGGATAGCAATATACCATATACATAGGGCTAGTGTTAGTGGTAAGAAATTTTTTCATAATAAATGTATTAGTTGGTCATAACGGAAGCGTGGGTAGGATGCTCGAATTCATAGAAATATTGATGATAGGATTAGTGTTTTGACAGCGAAGTTGCATGAGTGAACACACATGCACCATGGAAGTCAAAACGAGGGGCAAAGTTAGTTCCTCTGATTCAGATGCCCCTGATGGTCATAGGTCCCCTTTTTATTCCCCCAATTGGAGGGGAGGTATGGAACCCTATGCGATCTGTGAGAGATACCTGCAAGACGCGGACACCTACAAACCACCAACAGAGGGGCGGAGTGCTGGGGAAGTAACCTACTAGGAGGTCTACCCTGGAAGGGAAGGGCCACCTGAGAGCATGGACCCTAGGCCACAGGATTTGCTTCCCCAAGCGTATCCGGTCAATCTGGCACCAGGAGCAAACAGGCCCTTGGAATGGTATCCATGGGAAGCTAAGGATCTTAAAGAGCTCTGCAACAAGGTGGTGGAAGATGGCCCAAACTCTCCTTGGGCCCAGAGCTTATTACAGGACATTGCTTACCACCCAGGTGTCCCTAAAGCCTGGCTGGATGTGGCTAAAGCCGTCCTCACCAGTTCTCAGTTTATTAAATGTGTGCTTTCTTTAAGGAGGAATGCAGAGGGCAAGTAGAAAATAATTGTCAGGTTCAATCCACGATACCTATTACTTATGCCATGTTAACAGGGACGGGGAAGGGTACTCCACTGGCGTCAAACAGGCGGCAATACCTGGCCCGTACCATGACCAGGTGAGGCAAGCAGGACTGGCTGCGTGGTACAAACTGGATGATGGCCCTACTGAGTCCTCCATAGCAGGAGTGAGGCAAAAACCTGGTGAGCCTCCAGCTGAGTTTGTAGACTGAGTCCAACAGAGCATTCACCACAAGCTACCAGCAGGGAACCTCTGAGATCAGTTTGTAAAGCTACTGGTCTGGAAAGGGATGAATTCAGACCACTACATGGCCTGTGCGGGATTGAGAGAGCATTCACTGAGCAGATGGGTGGTGACCTCACAGGTTGTGGGGATGCAACAGCACCAGTCCCAATCACTAGCTTTAGCTTTACAGGCTCAGACATCTGCAATGACTGAGGCTAATGCCCAGGCGCTGGCAGCCCAGGGCCGAGGAACCCCAAGATCATCGGGGAGAGGGACTTGCAGGGTGTAGGGGGTAATTTCCCACCCCCCCCCAGCCGTTTGGCGGGGGGATTGTTGTAAGCAGTCCTTCTTAAAGTGTCTCTCTTGCAAGTCCCTCTCTCTGATGATCAACCCAACAGGTGACCTGGACAGTGATCAGCGCTGACAATGCAGAAATCATCAATAGACCACAAGAGAAGATGTACCTTTGACCTGGAGGCCTGACCTTCATTTTGATTACCACCCTATGTCATTATGTATGGACCATTTAATATTTCTGTAGGAGCAACTTATTTTGTGTTACTTGCTCTAATTGTTCTTTTACTACTTGCTTGTACAACCACCTTTTGTTATGCTTTCCTGTAAACATGTCTAAAATCTGCTCCAGAACAACCCCCACCTCTGGAATCTGAAGTGGTAAAGACTGCTCTCCCATCCCTGGCTAATGCTAAAGGACTGCTAATGACATTGCTTGGCCTGGGAACGCTTTTGCTAATTGTTTTCTATGCCTTACTTGCTTTATACGTGCACTGCAAAACTCTTATGAGCTTAGCCAGCCAGTTACATAAGATCAAGTTCCAAGTGAATAAATTTCCCCCGAGAGGAATCGCAGCCAGAGATGGATAAGAGGGGGTGTCAGTCTGGCCAACCTAAGACAGGGCCTTCAGCTTCGCTCTGAAGAAGTTCCCGATGACAGATCAGGCAGACAAGGCGATCCACCCAACCTAAGATAGGCGGGTTCGCTTCCTTAAACAAAGACAGGGGAGATGCTGGGAGCCATTTGGAGCTTAAAGTAAAGCTCAAAGTCATCTTGACCCCTGTGCTCACTTAAAGGCACGTACAAGGAACTGGCTTACTTAAAAGACACCAGGTGCCCAGTATTGCTCTGCTATGTCTGCAATTGGTTTTAAATTTTCCTTATTTTTCTGCACTATAGTTGAATGGCAGTGTGGGCACCCACGAGGATGCACCATGCCGCATGTGTGGAACTCCCAATACCCAGGGTTCTCCCAGGTTCTGAAGAGGATGACCTTATGAGATACTGACTTTTATATATGCCCAGGAATTAATTGAACTGCTTTGGACATTTCTAACTGTCGTGGGATTGATGTTTATTATTGTCCTAGATGGGGATGTGAGGTAACTGGGACGGCCTCTTGGCTCATGCACAAGGGCCCTCCTTATCCTTGTCTGGCGAATCTCAACACCCAGACTTGCCCCAAACCCCCTGCATGGCCAATGCTATCCTTACCAATGGAATCCTTTTAAAATAACCTTTACAGCGGAGGGGAAAAGATAACTAACTTGGAGGTGGGTCTGCCATTAAAACAAAAAAGAGGGAATCTATAGAGCACATGGGCAGCAAAGATGACACTGAAGGGGAGTGGAGTGGGCAGAGCCCGATTTGCTTCACAGTAAGTAACCAG